TTATCAATAAACCTAATGTGTCCGTCCGTTTGGTTTTATATTTGTAAAAAAAGCTCCCATTCCTGCGTTCTTTTTGGAACCACCATTTAGCTGCAACCTCACCGACGAGTAAGTTCTTTTACAATTTAAATCTTTCCTGTATTGGTTGCTAGCATCATAATTGTGTTTTCAGCTACTGAAGTAAGCTCCATAGAGAATGCCGAAAGCTAGAGATTACCGCTAAATGAGTTAAGTAAGGCCTAAAAAGTTTGCCCATTTCCCAATTAACAATCAATTATATATAGATATATATATATATATATATAAATATATATATATATATATATATATATATATATATAAATATATATATATATATAAATATATATATATAGGGTGTCCGCAAAGTTGGGGTTTTCCTTTACACGACGTGTAGATCTTGAAAATATAAGCAATTTTTCTTAGTACCATATACACCAATGTCTTAAGGGAACCGAGATAAAGGGCTCTGCAACATCAAAAATATCTTAATACCGTCCTGTAGCCGCGACATCACCGACTGGTACAAGGTCACTGGCTCAACCCGACGACAGAACTGGGTCGGGGTCAGTGTGTCAGGTCAGCATGCAACCTTCAACCGACGGTTACGGTCACGCGTGTAGAGGTAATCGCGTAGACGAGAATCCCTCAACAAGCACTAGAGAAGTGGCTAGAGAAGTGCACGTACTAAAAACTAAAGTGTGGCAAACGCTGCGTGAAGAGGGGCTGTATCCGTTTCACGTCCAATGTGTACAAGCCCTTCAACCTGACGATTTTCCATCAAGAGTGCGGTTTTGTGAGTGGTTGTTGCATCAACATGACAATAATCCAGACTTTTTGAAGTGCATATTGGTGACAGACGAATCTACGTTCACGCGTAATGGGGCGAATAACTTTTGCAACACTCATGTTTGGTCAGTAGAAAATTCGCACGCTGTCCGTCGGGCACATTCTCAACAAACATTTTCGGTGAATGTTTGGCCTGCATGGTGAACGGTATGGTCATTGGACCATTTATTCTCCCAAATCGATTGGATGGGATGCAATACCTAGACTTTTTACGCAACATTTTGCCTTCCTTGTTAGAAGATGTGCCATTAAATGTAAGACAATCAATGTGGTTTTTGCGTCTGCTCGGTAGCGCATCAGCTGATTTCATTTTCTGTTGGAGCGGTATGATTTCGGGCAGAGACGTACTTTCTTCTCGTCAACTGGAGAGTGAGTACTTTTTCCTTTATTTTTTCCTCGTTTCACTACACATTACCTTTGTTATTTCAAGGGTAGTTGTTTCTGAAAAGGAAAACCCCAACTTTGCGGACACCCTGTATATATATATATATTAGATATTAGGTTTTCATAGAGAATTTATCATAATATAATAATATAAAGTATTGACCTAATGAAGTGGGTATGCATACTCGTCGTTTCTGACTGCCGTATAAGCTTTCATCTTACCACCTTTTAATGCTTATCTTCTGTAATGCTGCGTCTCTCTGAACCTAATGAGGACACCCGTCAGCTACCGCTTCTCACCCTAATACATAAACTGGCTCATGCAATAAGACCTTTACCCTCGAGTAACGAAATGAGACTCTATTTCCGATCCTGAAAGGATATCTTCTCCAGAGGAGATCTTAAATTTTGGATGCCTGGATTATGGCTTATAATACAGTTGAAACAAGGAAGAAGAACCACTGAAAAAATCCTCTCAAAGAGGATACAGAACGGCGTTTGTTTAACGACGCCATTCTCCTGGAGGGTGGCTGGAACAGGCTATCGGGACACAAGGCGATTTGCAAAAAAGGAGGGTGAAATAAATAATCGGAGTACTTGACAAGAAAAATTTCCACTGTTCGCGATAAACCGTAGGGAAAACACCGAATACATTTCGAGTGCACCTTCTCGCTCCCTTTTTTGAAATAGAATTCAGGGGCGTGGTGGCAGGTAAGATAGGAATTGATTGCTTAGATAAAACTCACCAATAGTGGTCAGTCGACAGTAAATGGACTTAGATTGTCTAGCTAGACCAGAGAGGCAGTCTAACGTCACCACAAAAATATGTATGATATTTACTCAAAACGTTGCATATTAATTTTAGTTTTTTGTACAATCATGCATTTGTTGATCAGAACAGAGAATACTCAGTTCTTTTCTTGGGTTTTGGCGGATTAAGTTATAGGTTCATATGAAATAAGTAAATAGATTGATGTACTGAACGATGTGTGAGTTTAACCTACCTGAGGGAAATTGCATACTGCAAGCAGTTGCTACTCGCTCTTGGACACACACGTGGACTGGATGAACGTTGTTTTCGTCCACCCTCAAAAAAAAACTACAATAACTTTATGTATCTTCAGGCATTAGTTTTATATCGATCAAAAAACTCGCACGCCCAAAGCAAAGAAGTTGTCATATTGACAGTGACAAGCATAAATGTGGAGGTCTCGTACTACAGATTGTTCACTACACTACAGATAACATGATGATTCCGGGTACAATCGTTAACCGCACCATCTGACGAACGCGCCTGACACTAACAAATAACAAACGAAACTAAAACGACGATTGTTCACAGTATTCTGATCACTGACACATGCACCCTTTGTTATCCTCGAGTTGCATTATATTTATAAGCAAATGTATGTACAGGGTGTTGTTAATTAAGCTAACTTAAAAAATATGTATTCGTTATAGGAATTAACTACTAAAACATAGTTTCCAGGTTACAGTTGCATTTCAAATATAAAATCAACATCTTCGTCGATATTATTAAACCAACCAAAAACAAAACAAACTATACCTACCTGAGTATTAGAACTAGTCACACACTTTGGCGCTTTATAAAGATGACAAGTTTATCAACTAGAGCGTTCGGCGATTCTGGTCTCTCTCTCCCCCTCTCTCTCTCTCGTGTCAGTTGCTTGTCACATGCCTCCAACAGGTTCCAACATCATGGCCGCATCGGTATCTCTCGACGGGCACTATCGCTCTGTTCAGTTGGTTTAATCGTTAACTACCTGAGTACTGTTTTAAATTTAAATTAAATTATTTCTCTTTGACAATTCATTTTACAAGTATTTAAAAAAATTTGCAAGGCTGCGCCATCTAAGATTATTAGTATTCATTGCTTTCACCTACCCTGTCTCATAGGTACAAAACTCAGAATCATATAATTTTCCACGATTGTCTGACCGATAAATGAAACCATATACAGGGTGACCCAGTCATGTGTGGACGGAATATTACTCATAAACAAATACATTATGGGAAATCTACTTATAGGATGTTATTT